AGTAACCTTGAATCATAGATTCCATAATTATAAAGCCCTTCTCCCCTTATGCCCTTCTCCCCATGTGGATATTCATCGATAGTCAATCATAATAAGAATTATGTATAGAAAGACAATCATATACATAATGAAAAGGAAGGAAAGTGAAGAAGATAAGAGAATTAGCAATGCAAAGGTATGAAGTATAATAATAACTTTACTATTGATCCTAATTTTACATTTTTACTCCCTATCCCTAGTAATTTTTCAAATTTTATTCCTATACATACCAAACAAGGGAAAAACACTTATCTTATCTTGATTTCTCTATCACTATCCTTTAGATCTCTTGTTCGTTTAAGCTGAATTGCGCTAAACTATATTGAACTGAACTGACTTGAAAATAAGTTTGAAAAATCAAGGTCTTACACAGTTTACCCCTCTTTATATTTCTACCAAGTGTCTCGTCAATTTTTGAACAAATAATTTTATACTCATGTATCTTCCAATAACATATGTTTGACAATTAACTAATGTGTGGCCCGTGCGATACCCCGGTTTGCTAGTTTGTACTTGTTTATTTTGTTAATCATGTTCGATTTTTTTCCTTAGTGTTTTGATAATCATTTTGAAATTTCATGAGTTGAAAAATAATTTGTAGTAGGAGAACCATATTCAATATTTGATACGTTATGATTTAAAGATAATTAACAACTATTGACTATTCAACTATAGAAAAATAAAATTACGGATTTTTCACCAAATACCACTGAGTTTTTCAAAAATTCACCATATACCACACAAAATTTTCTAATTCACCATATACCATTGAGTTATTGTACGTTAACACAGAATGCCATTTTTGGTAACTGTCGTTAGTGTGCCGTTAACGCCGTTAGTAATTAGGGTTAATTATGCTACGTGGCTGTCACTTATTGGCTCTTATTAATATTATCTAATTAATTAGTTAAATAAAGAATTAAAAAAAAAACAACCACCACCTCCTCACTCCACCAACCTCGTCACCCCCTTCCCTCACCAGCCCAGCTCCCCCTCCCCGCCGGCGGCCTTGCGCAGCCTCTACCCTCGCCGGCGACCTTGCCCAGCCTCCTCCCTCGCCAGCCCTCCGGAGCTCCCCCTACCCCTACCATCTCCCCTTCCCGTCCGCCTTCTAAACCACCATCCTCTAAATGCACTTCTCTCAACCCATCTTCCCAAAAATCAATCTGCATCTCCCGCCGGTCGGAATCCGACCAAAACCCCCCGCCGGTGCTCCTCCCCTTTCCCTGAACCGACGTGCCCGCATCTCCCACGAAAACCCTCAACTCTGTTCGTTTCTCTCTTCAACTTGAAAAAATTGTGGTATTTGAAGATTGTTGTAATTCCTTGGTACAATTTGAGATAAGATAGGTCTAATACTCTGAATTTTGTATTTGGATTTGGAATTGAAATGGATCCTTTTCATCTCTTATCTTTCATCATCGACTTTCGTAAAGGTATTCTCCGATTACCTTTCATCTCAATTTTGGGTTTTTGGGTTGGTTGTTTGCTACTAAATTGGGCGGCGGCGACGTGAGGGAGGGGGATCTGGGTCGCCGGCGTTGGATTTCGGCATGGTGGGTTTCGGCTTAGGTGAAAGGGTTGCAGGGGGAGACGTTTTGGGCAGATAGGAGGGAGAATTTGGGTTAGGTATGGTGGTTCAAGGGAGGAATGGGGGCACCGGCGCAAAACTGGGTGAGGGGCGGCGCCGACACGGTGGTGGTTCAAGGCTGGGAGCGGGTGGCGAGGGGCTAGGCTGGGTGCTGGGTGCTGGTTGGGGGCGAGGAGATGGCTGGGAGTTGGTGGTGGTTTTAATTTTTTTTCAATTATTGTTGTGAAAGTTTTTCAATTAATTATTTAGTTTTTTAATTTTTTTTTTAATTTTTATTTTTTGATAATTAATTAAATAATTATTTTAAAGTTAAATAATTTAAAAGGCAACCAATTACAAGCTGCCACGTAGCACAATTAACGTTAATGACTAACTGAGTTAACAGAAATGGCATGTTGTGACATTTATGTTAAACTCAGTAGTATATGGTGAATTAGAAAATTTTGTGTGGTATATGGTGAATTTTTGAAAAACTCAGTGGTATTTGGTGAAAAATCCGATAAAATTATTATATTTCATCAAATCAAAAAAATAATACAGAGTTTTTCAAATCAAACTTCAAAAGTTAAGTTGTTAAATTGTCTTGTGTCATTACATAATGAAAACAAATAGTACAATTAAACACTAATTATCTTATCTAAGTTAACTACAATTTTGTTGGATAGAAAAATAAATTAAATGAATAGCTAAGATGGTAAAACTTGTAGCTTAATATTTGTTGGTCTCGAGTTCGTGTCTTTGTAAAAGCATTTTTAAGTTGTCAAATCTAATACATGTTGTGGAGGTGACATGTCATGTTATAGTGTTTAAAGATGTGACATGTGGCTCATACTGCTAACATGTCATGTTTATATTGCTTAAAAAACGTGACATGTGGCACATATTCTGTTTTAGGAACGCTTTTTAATATAGAAGTATAGATATCTTAAATAAATGGTGTATTAGTAAACAAATAAAAAATTGATATTAATATACAATGTTTCTAAACCAACAATATATTATATGTAGGGGTATAAAAAACTTATCCGACCCGAAAGATTTACCTAAATCTGAACTGTTTTCGAACTAGTTGGACCTGGGTATTTTGTATCCGAATTTGATCTGGAGTTGACCCAACGTTATCTCCAAATCGATTCCACCCGGTAATTTATGATCCAACCCCAACTTGGAATCGACTCATATTTACTCCGAAACCAATAACATCCGATAATATAAAAGTCGAATTCGATCTAGCCCGAAACGAAATCTACCCGAAACCGTTTAGACCCGAAATATACCTCTTTTTACCCGACCTTTAATTACCCGATTTGAAACTTCCCATGACCCAATTAAAACCGACCTGAAATAATGAGTGGTGCGGAAAAGCAATAAGAGTATTTGAATGGAGACAACATTATAGGGACGGTACAATGATGGATATATTAGTCCATGATTTTAGTATACTTATGTCAAACATTCCTAAATTATCATTATACCATAAATGTAGTTCCTATATATATATATGTATGTATTTCAACTTAATTTTCTCTTATCTGAATTTACTTCAACCTAATTTTCTCTTATCTGAATTTATATAAACAACTCTTAATTTATAAACATATCTGAATCTATCTGAACTCATATCAATCTGAACCTATCTAAATTTCTTTGAAATTATATGAACTTATTTGAATTTATAAGAAAATATCTGGATTATATGAAATAATTTGAACTTATATTAATTTATCTAAACTTATTTGAATTTATCTGAAATTAAATTATCTAAACTTGTCTTAATTTATCATAAATTATTTGAACTAATCTGATTATTTAAAAAATTATCTAAACTTTTCTGAATGTATCTGAAATTACCCAAACTAATCTGAATTTATTTGAACCAATTTGAATTTGTCTGAACTAATCTGAATTGTATAAACCTATCTAAAATTATATGATATTATCTGAACTTATAGTCTTGAAATAAGAGAAAATAAGGTGAATTGAACAAACCCTTATCTGAACATACTTTAACTTATTAGACCTTATTATAGCTTATTTTAGTTGTAATTTATCTAAATTCGGATAACCTTTATTAAGCTTTATTAAAACTTATTTTAGTTATACATCAAACTCAAGTAACATTTATTCATTATTGACCATTAGTAATGTGTCCTTACTAAATAAGGAGTTAGAATTATTATGAAACCAACGTAAAATAAATGTGTTGCAATTATTACGAAATGAAGGGGTATAACTTCATTAAAAAATTCAAACATTACTAAAATTTGAAAATCTTGTATTCTTAATCACGATTTAGATGCTAATATATAATAAACAATCTTAATACTTCTAATAATCAAGTTGCCAATGATTGACGATGATAAATAGCCGCAAAGACGATGATAAATACAAAACGGTAAAGAAAAAGACATTTTACAATGATGTGATAATCACCCGATCAAGGCGATAAATAGTCATTTTCAATAATAACCTTGAGTTGTCAATCTTATAACAATTCTAATAAGCCAATGCGAAACTTAATTAAATGAAACCCAATAGACTATATATGAATGAAAATCTCCAATAACAAAAATGACATGACATGTATTCTAATATAGCTAAAACGACTTGAACTGAGATGGATTTGAATTCAAATTAGTCGACTCAAAACTGAAACTAAAGTAGTTTTAACTGAGAATGAGCTAATAATCGAAGTAACCAGATTCAAATTTTAATCGGAACTGAATTGATTTGAACCGAGATCTTATCGAATTCGAAATGACCCGTTCCAAAGTCAAATAAATCCATTTTGACCCATATAAACCCGATAAAATCCGAAGCCGAGTTCATCTTAACTCGATATGACTCGACCCGAATTTGACTTGACCCTAATTTGATTTTGTATCTGACCATGCTTGAGCTCAACTTTAACCCAAATCTGATTAAGCTCAACTCGATTTGATTTGGTTTGTTAGATTAATATAACCCATCATTACCCGACCCAAACATCCCGACTCGTCGTGGATCAATCCAAACTCCATCTGGATACCCGATTTGACACCTTTAATTATACGTAGTTCAACATTAAGCTATTGTATCTAGGTAAAAATATACTACATATTAACTAAAAAGTAATATGTAAATAGTGCAAAAACTTATATTGTGTCATTTTAAAAAAACAACCCAATGTTTATTAGCTAGATATTATTGGCCGAAGTTTTCTTTTAGTCAATATTCTTTTTTTTGATGTAAACAAGGGCAAAGCCCTGTTCTTTTAGTCAAATTTTAACACCATATTTTCTACCAAAAATAATTTACAGTATATTCTTACCAAAAACAATTTACCATGGCTTTGGACAACCCATAGTGAAGGAAAATCTGTGTCCATACATCAAAATTGGAAATTTGCAACTTTGTTCATAATTTTTTTTTTTCCCCTTCAATTTAGAAGGGAGCGCAGAGTCTGGCGCATTCAATTCAAACACACTCCACGTACATTTCTCTCTCTATTTATTACTTCCTCCTCGAATTTCGTTCATTACATGAATGAAGTTTTTCATCAATTTCTAAAGTACCCCTTTTCATCTTCACCTTCTCTCTCATTCAAGATCCTCTTTTCACATTACCAGAGTTCTAATTTGGTATATTTTTTGACCTTTTCTTTTTATTGTTATTCACTTGTTAATACTTTATTGGAAATTTATGCATCTTTTTATTTGGTTTTATGATGATGGCTTGGTTTATTTGCTTATATTTTTAGTTGTTGCTAGTGTATTTTTGTCTTTGAAATGTTTGTTCTTTGGATGAATTGGTTTAATTTGTATGATTATTGATTGATTTTAATTTCTTTCTTTATAAATCATTTATGGGTATTGATTAGATTTTTGTTATTTTAAAGAATTAGAATGTAATTGAAACAGTTGATTAATTTGTTTCTCATTGACTGGGAAAATTAATTTTTGTATTTTGGGTTGTAGAAGGATTATTGTAATCATGGGTTACCTGTGAATCCCCATTATGATATTTTTGTGGCCTGCATTGCTATATATACTCAGCTCCTTACCCAGTTTAGTTTATCTGGGTACCTAGACCCAAGTTGTCTCTAACCGGCACCGGAATCGGTCAGCCATTGTCAGAAAGAGAGGGGGAAGGGGATTTGTGCATTGTTTTATATCTAATGATTTGTTGCAAAGAGGGGCTTTGGTTTTGGCCTTTAGTTCACGAACTTGATTTATGTTGATTGTAGTATTTTTGAATTCTACAACAAATTTGAATGTTTGTGCAATGTTGTAAACTATAATTATCCTAAGGGCTCGTTCCTCTTGTATCCGAAAGTGAATATGTTAGGGCCGTAGGTCTTTTCTTGTATGAAGTATATTTTTGCGGTCTGTGTAATACATTGGTCTTAACTAATGAGTGAAGGAAGTGAATAATGTGAGTTATGGGAGTCTTAAATGATATTCCCACAATGGTTATTAGCTTTTGTGTGATTGTGATTCTTCTCCAACTTCTGCAATAAAAAACTTCTTGATTTTTGTCAACATTTTAATCACATATTATCTTTTGTTCTTGTTTTGGGAGCTTTGGTTTTGAATTTTCTATTGTTATGTAATGATGTGATGGCATATTTTATGTCTAACCATGGATAAACTGTTGGATACTGACAGGGAATAACTGATTCTCATGTCTACCGTGGGCAACTCGACAAATATTTTCTGGCATGAATGTGCAGTTGGAAATATTGATAGGCAAAAGTTACTTAATCAGAAGGGATGTGTTGTCTGGATAACTGGTCTCAGTGGATCAGGTATATTTCTTGTGCTTGCGTCCTTTCATTTGGTTAATTTTGTGGCACATATTTGGTGTCTTGAATTGCCTTAGTGCTTTCTTTTAGCACATTCAACATTGCAGTCTTAACTTTTGATTGCCTAAGGAATTGTTCTATCAATAGTATTAGGTAAGCCTTGATAGATTTATCGGTGCTTGATTCTAATATGATCAATCATTGGTTTACTTCTGTATCTTTTTATAACGTTCCATTTAAGTTATATTCTCTTTACTTAAGATGAGGTGATTTGGTGTGAATTTTAAGGCCAATTATGGACTTTATGGTATGGCAACTCTGAATGTTTCTGGTCCAGATTGAGCTTAAAAATTCACACCAAATCACTTTAGTTGGTAATCACACCAGATTGAGCTATAATGGTAAATTGGTAATGACTTCTCTAAAATAAGAAGGTTTTTTGTGATCTGTTGTTTCCTTGTTTGGTTTGTATGGTGTGATTTGATCTGATTTGAATAAGAATAGGTAAGATGTATTTGAAACAAGGCAAACATAATAGCCTGCCCATGTTCGTTTTACCTAGAGAGGTGTTATAGTTAAAATCTTGTAAGATCCAGTCTAGTTTGATATGAATCTTTCTGATATGGACTGGTGAGCAGGTCTTACTTGAACTTTCACCTTATTTTTTGCTTTTATCTTAAAAAAACATACATGTGGGGTCTTTTTAAATGAGTTGCAATGTGTATTTTTTACATAACAATGTTTATAATTTCTTATAAATACGCAATTAAAGTGGTTAATGTCTTAATGACAATGAGTTTTCAAATATACAAGCTGGATCTTTATGATACTGTTTAGTTCCTTTTGGTTTAGGCTGATATGATCTAACTGGAACAAGAAAAAGGAACAAGTTTAATAAGGTGAACAGATTATAGAATTGACTAGCTTCCATGAATATAATTTTAAAAATGCTGTTACAATCCTCTAAGATTCTAATAGAATGACTCAGCTTGTGGAAGAGACAATAGCTACCATTCCTGTTTGGAGTTTCTACTTAGTCCATGCATCTTTAAAGAGGGAATTTTTGTAGCAAATGATATGAACTGCATCCAGTTAAAGCTTATAAAGCTGTCATTCTATTAATATATCTGCTTTTCTTGTATGAGGGCAGGAAAAAGCACGCTAGCTTGCTCGTTGGGTAGAGAATTGCATTCCAGGGGGAAGCTATCTTATGTTCTTGATGGAGACAATCTTAGGCATGGTTTGAACAAGAATCTTGGCTTTTCTGCTGAGGACCGTACTGAAAACATACGTAGGGTTGGTAAGTCTTTTATCTGTTAGACGTCTTGTCAAGTTGTTTGTGTTTCACTCTGGAGTTGGTTCTTTTTTTTAAATCCATAATAAGCAGTTAAATCATCTGATACTTGTATCTGTGGCTGAACCATTTTACTGATTCTTGAGATTATTTTGCTGGTAATAAAGGCTGTGGGAAATTGGGAACAAGTGAAGACTAGAGAAATGAACTGAAGATAATGGCAGGAGGACTCAAATTCCTTGAAAACTAAATAGAATATCAATAGAGTCATTGCTTTTGCCTCTTGATGTTTTCCCCCTTCATATTTCCTTCAATTCAACTCCAACAAAGTTTCTATTTATGTCAAACTTTTAGAACTCATAGTTGCATGTTATGTGCACATTTCGATGTTCTTCCCGCCAAAAGGTATATAATTTTGTAGAGGTATAGTCTCAAATGCGAAAAGAAACATTACCTGTGTTGAAAGCTTTATCTGAAGAAAATAAAATGAATTATTTTCTGAAAAGAAAGGAATAGTGTATAGCATTGGAGAAATGAGTCATTATTGATGCCACATATTTTGGACTTAGACTGTGATCCATGTGAACCTATTCTACCTAATCAGTAAGTAGCATGGTTTTTCTGATCATAATTGCTACTGATTCTGAGTTAATCTTGCAGGGGAGGTGGGGAAGCTATTTGCAGATGCTGGCTTGATTTGTATAGCAAGTCTGATATCTCCCTACAGAAAAGATCGTGATGCTTGTCGGGCAATGTTGCCAGTTGGAAATTTCATAGAGGCAAAGATTCATGACTATCTACTATATGTAACTTGGTTATATTTGTCTCATTATGAGTTGCTAACATGTTTATTTATCTTTAGGTTTTCATGAACATGCCCTTGGAAGTTTGTGAAGAAAGAGATGTCAAAGGCCTGTATAAACTTGCGCGTGCTGGGAAGATCAAAGGTTATCATTTCTATTATTTTTCTCGTTATTTTTGTGAATCACACTTGAAATAGAAACGCTTTTGTGCTGTATGATTGCTCAAGTTACTTTCATACCATATTTGGAGTTTCAAGGCCTCTACTGAATAGTGCGTGGATTGCAGGTTTTACTGGAATAGATGATCCTTATGAGCCACCATTGAATTGTGAGGTATGTCCTAATTGCACCAATTATTTTCCATTGAATTAAGTTCAATATGTTGCCATTGTAGCTTACCTTTAGTTCTGAGTTTTGGTCTCCTAAGTATAACCTGAAATCTGTGCTTCAATGAATGATTCTATACTTGTAGTCATGTGGTCTTTATTCTTGACAGATAGAATTGACATTGGCGGATGGCATCTGCCCTTCGCCAATTGATATGGCTGGGCAAGTGGCATCATATTTAGGGGAGAAGGGCTTCTTGCATTATGATTGATCAGCTTTACTCTGGAACCTTTTCGCTTACGTTCAACCATATGCTCTCTGAACCTGGACTGTCTTTGCTTCTGCAATGCAGCCTTGTTCACAAAGACAATTCAAGTGTAATTGTGATGTTGAATTTAGCCGAAGTGCTTCCATTGGTTTATATATGGTCAAAGATACGAGGATCGTATCTATGTATAGAATCTGCAGACGACTCATTCTTCCTGTTTAAAAGGTAAAATGTATGTTTTGAATCTTTGCTGCTAGGAATTCTTGGCTCCTTTGTTCAAGCTGTAGTGAAATTTATATAAAGAATTTCTGGTTTCATTTTAAATTTTGGAATCCATCCCATATTCTGTTGTATTCCAAGATTTTCAAAATATCAGTTTTTCATAGTTTTTTTTTCACACATACATATGGGTAATCAAAAATATTAATGACCAAAGATGGTCATTATATGTTTCAAAAAAAAAAAAGAAAAAAAAGATGGTCATTAAAGATCGTGTAAAAGCTAAATGAGTAGAACAAAAAAAAACAAAGTAGCATACTTGGCTTTTGTGCTCAAATTTGTGAACTTTTTCCTATTTTATTTTCCCCCTATCATTATGTACCTGTTACTTCTGCTAGCATACATCATATGTTCATGCGGTCTTCATACTCAATTATGGTATATCAATGAATAGGCACATAATGCATATCTTCTGAACCAATTTCGCAATCTGGTATTTCAAACTTGGTTGTAGTTTCTTCACTTGTTTTACTAAGATTTAATGATATATATGCCGGACATTCTATCTACGTAGTAAATAAACATAAGTGGTCCATCGTAATTAGGTTATTATGTATTTGGCCCAATTGGCCATGTCCAACGGTAGTGTTAGAGAAGTGGTTAGCATTTTGACCATATCAATACACTATTAGAAATAAGAAAACCTAAGTCTAGCTTGCTACCAATCTAATATTGTGAAAATAATTAAATTAAGAAAATTTTGTAAATAACCACCCCTCAAATCACCCCTTGTTGAACTTATGACCCGCTTTTTTTCGAAATTAAAAAATACCACCCCTTAAAGTCAAAACCAGTAAATAGCACCACCCTTCTCCTTAAAGGTGGGCACGGGCTGGGTGGGCCTGTGGGCGGCACGACCCGACATGAGCCCGGTGAAGGCACGGCCCGACACGCTGGCTCAGCCCGGACATCGTTTCGATTTTCTGGCACAAGCCCGCAAATAGCCCGCCGTGTCGGCCCGTGGCACGGCCCGTCGTGCCTACGGCTATTTTGCCGTAGCCAATCAAGCAATTAACGGCTAGTTTTTTTGTCTCAAATGGCAATTAACGGCTAGTTTTCCCAAATTCCCTATAAATACCCAACTTCATTCACTTCCCAAATTACAAATTCACAATCTTCCTCTCTTAATCTCTTATATTCTCTACTAATCCTTAATCTCTTATATTCTCTAATAATTCTCTTAAATTCTCTAAATATTATTTCGTAATATCGGAAAAAATTAAAAGTTCGTAATCGTAATTAGTGGAAAGCGTTGAAGCACGGTTGTAAGATCTAAACTAATCTTCAATTTATTATTGTTGTTATTGTTATCATTACAATTATTGTTAGTAATTATTATTGTTGTTATTGTTATTGTTATATTTGTTGTTATTAATTATTATTATTGTTAAAATTGTTGTTATTAATTATTATTGTTGTTATTTTTATTATTACAATTATTGTTATTAATTGTTATTGTTGTTAACTTGTTATTGTTATTGTTATAATTGTTGTTATTAATTATTATTATTATTGTTAAAATTGTTGTTATTTATTATTATTGTTGTTATTTTTATTATTACAATTATTGTTATTAATTGTTATTGTTGTTAACTTGTTATTGTTATTGTTATAATTGTTGTTATTAATTATTATTATTGTTAAAATTGTTGTTATTAATTATTATTATTATTATTGTTAATTATGGCATCGAACAACCAATCATCTAGGGGGAAGGGCCGACTTACCCGTGCTAGTAGTTCTAGGGAATCACCTAATCCAACGAGCCCCCAAATTCCGAATCCGACCATTCCAACCAATGACCCCGGTAACATCCCCCAAGACTTTGAACAATTTAGGCACGATGGTACTTTCGGTTTTCAACCCTACAATATGGCCGGATTTCCACAATTTCCACCACCAAACCAAATCCACCACCAAACCAATTTCCACAATTCAGTCAATTCCCACCAAATTACTTTGACCAACAAAATTTTTATTCTAGCCAAGGTAGCCAACAAACCGTAAATGTCTTCGGTTCTACTACTAACCAACAAACCCCCGATTCTACAAACACCCAATTCCCACACACACATGAGGAATGGTTAACCGAGAGTGAGATGGTACTTGTCAAAAGCCGCAAAAGTGAGGTATGACGTTATTTCCTCCTAAGTAGAGACCACACAAGAGAAAAATGTAAAACATGTGTCATTCATTCTCGGCAAAATCCATATCGGGGACTGGACACTTAGGTAGACACATGAAAAGTTGTGCAAAACCAGCTAGTGATCCAACCCAGCCAAAAATTTTCCAATTCCATCCACACGGCTTTACCTACAACTATGAGAGGGATAGGGATGAACTAGGGAAAATGATAGTACACGCCGAACAACCTTTTCTTTTCTCCGAAAGTGACCCATTTAACACTTACATTAACAAAGCATTACAACCCCAACATAAAAGAATCTCTAGGAAAACCGTTCGTTCCGCCGCCATGAAAAACTTCATAGAGCACAAAATGCGGTTACAAGCCGAATTGAGTAACCTTAACTGTAGAGTGTCTTTGACTGCCGAATTGAGTAACCCGCAGGCCAGCCCACTAGGCCAACCCGCCAGGCCAGCAGCGTGCCAGCTAAGCAGGCGAGCACGACACGAGCTCGAATGGCACGTGGGCCGTGCCGTGGGCTGGCCTGTGACTTTGGGTGGCACGTCACGGCACGACTTCTCAGGCACGGCCCGCCGGAGCACGGCCCAGCAGGCACGGTGCCCACCTTTACTTCTCCTATTTGACCAGTTTTCCAACTTAGACACATGTGTCACCACGTGATTGGTCAAAAATAGCCAATTTTTTTAAAAAAAAATTAAAATTAAAATTAAAATTTTTTTAAAAAAAATCCCCATTACCCAACCCTAGCAGCCACCTCATCCAAGCTAGCCACTTGTCGGACCATCCCCCACCCCAACCAGCAACCTCCAGCCATTACTCCTGTCGGCGAAGACCACCAAGCCCCATCCCTGCTCGCGAAACCCCGGCCACCAAGCCCCCCCAATATCGTCCCCGATGTTTCCCTTTTTCTCTCTCCTCGAAACCCTAGATTTTTGGGTGTCCTAGGATTCGCAACACCAACCTCTAATTCACCATCACTCTTCACCCCAGAATCATTTAAACCGCCCAATTCCCGACAATTTACACCGAAACTAACCACCGCAGTCGACTCATCTTCATCAGGTATCTCGTCTTGAGAGGTAAGGGAGGGGGGGGGGGGGTCAGAAACAGGGACGAGGAAGGGAAGGGGGGCCAGATATGGAGACGGAGAAGAGAGGGGGGGTGCAAGAGGTGGCAGGGAGCTGGGGTTGGGTTTTTTTAAAAAAAATTTAATTTTGATTTTAAGTTGTGTGGACCCCTAAGTCGAAAAACTGGCCAGAATAGGAGAAGGGTGGTGATATCTACTGGTTTTGACTTTAAGGGGTGATATTTTTCAATTTTAAAATAAACGAGTGGTAAGTTCAATAAAGGGTGATTCGAGGGGTGGTAATTTACAAAATATCTTTAAATTAAGAAATGTTATAAAAAGAATTTACTTTTAACCTAGGATTTTGTTTGTTTTGGAGGAAAATGATTTTCACATTTTTCTTTGTTTGGTTTATAAAGGGTGGATAACAATAACAATTTTCCTAAATAAAAACAAAGTAGTTTTCCGGAGGTAATGAATTCTAAATTTTCCTCCCTACGCCTAGCATCGCTTCTCTCTCCTGCCATCCAACTCTCACTGCCACTCCAATTTTTCTCTTCCTCTAAATTTCTGTTGAAAATGTTTTCCATGTTACATCAAATTTATTGGAAAATGTTTACCGTCAAAATAAATGAAGCCTATGAAAACTAAAAAAGAGAGATCATGCATTGATGACAAAAGTTTACACAGTTTATAGTGCTTTAATTATTGTATAAAAAATACTACTTGTATCTACTGTTTTTTTTTTTTTTTTTTTGAAACCACTTGTATCTACTTAGTTTTAGTTTAAATATGACAATGTACTTGGTTTTGGTTTAAATATATGACAATGTCATGCTTACATGTTAGTATGTAAATGAAAAAGTAATTTATCATGTCATCAAATTCCTTAATGATTAACATTAAGAATAACAAAATATTGATGACATTTTACAAAAGATATGTTTAAGAATCAAAACCAAACCATAAGCTACAAAGGAACAATGTATGAATTGTGCTTATTGTGGTTGGTAGGGCCATATGAGAACAAGATATGTGTAATCAGAAATATTGGTTTCTTTTATGCTTTTGATTTCTTAGACAAATGGATGACGATGGGATGAGAATCATGAGATAAATAACGAGATAAATTCGATGCTTGTCAATTTGGCTTAGTACGGTAAAACAATCAATAAGAATCGTATTAATTATTGAGTCAGTTTAAATTTTGTAGAGATACAAGTTCAGAGTCCTCTAGTAATTGTAGTGACATTCAAAACTGTTAACAAGGGCGCGACCTCCACCTATGATGTTAATTAGGAATAAGAAGACAATGGTTCTAGCTTCCCTAGCGCGGCTGCTAGGCATAATTGCAGTGCGGGATGTGATCATACTTCGTTGCTCGATTTTGCCCTTAAGAGTGACAGGCAGGGATGATTGGATGTTGTGTAATATGTGCGCCATTTAACGTACAGAATACATCAAAATGTAAGTAGATTCTGAATGCTTCCAATGAGCTGCTGAGGCAAAGAATCTCTGAGTCAAAATTGCAGCTACTTTTTTTTGCTGATGAATGCATCACTAACCAAACTTGAATACCCTTTATCAGAGTGCTCATTGAAGCGGATGTCACTTAGCTGCTTACAAGGTTTAGTATAAGATATGAGTGGAAGACCCTTTAATAGTGATTAATTATTGATCATGTTTCTGCTGCTCGATCTGTCTGCGTATGAACGGCGTACAGCAGCAGGGATCGAGGATGAAATGACAGCCTTAGGGAGTACAACAGCCTCAAGGACAACATTCAAGCCCGTCTCTTGGGCGGTTCTTTCTAAGTTTCAGAACAGGGCCCCCAATATTTTGGGGCCCAAAAAAAAATCATTGAATCTTTCAAAAAAAG